CCTTCATTCGGAAGCTGTCTCTTTTAGAAAATTCCTGAGACAAAAGAGCAGGTGTGGCAGTACCACTGGGGGAGGGGGAGGGCTCTTCACTTGGGAAGCCTTATCTAGGGGAATTAATAGTGCCCGAGTAGAATTACTAGTGCCTGAGTAGAATTCAGCTCATCCTGAAAAGTAGCCAAGTTCCTTCAGAGGAAGAGTTTCCTGCTGTGTGCAGGAAGAATGCAGTGATAGAAAGAAGAACCTACAATTTTATGGAATCAGGAACTATACATCTGGGTTGAAATCTGTTTGTACATGGATTTTCTGAGTAATTGTGGGAAATTCTCAATCTCTGTTCCCTTTTTGTAAAGTGAGAATAGCAGCTGCCTACCTCTTGTTATAAAGATGATGAAATGAATTGATATTTTCCTTGTTCTTAAAGTATGACAAACTCTAAAATGGAAAGAAATAAATCTTTTTCAGTGAAATTACTATTGGTGTATGCCATTCATCTTATTTCCTCTTTGTTCCCAACAGATAAATCTTGCTTTTTAGTCTTACTCCAGGGTTGAACTGTTTTCCCTGGATTGAGGCTACCGTTAGAGATATGAAATGTTTTGGGGAGACATGGACAAAAGCCAGGGGAGCTAACTGTGCTCTCAAGAGTCCTGCTGGATTGGAGTGGCATCTGAGCCCTGGTAAACTAGCTGACAAACAATAATTTGCCTGAATGTGTCAAGGCATAATGTGTCTGGTCTGGAAGTTGCTTCCTAGGCAATTTTTTTATTTGTCCTACTCTCCTCCAAAGGATGATCAACAAAGACTAGAAACAGCATAGGCAGTTCTGTATGCAAGCAAAAACAGAGAAATGTTTAGTATACTGTATGTGGCGTTTGTCACTTATTTTCATTTCTCTTTTCCCAACACCCCTCTTCTGGCTTCTTACTAGGGAGTGATTTGGATTTTGTAATTTCAAGCACAACAGTTGGAATTGCAGGATAAGGCTGATAATTATATTGTAATGCCCCTCACCCTTTTATTATTTCCTTTGTCCTATGACTATACATTCTCCTTCAAATGAATGTGTATATATGCAGATATATTTGATATGTAATTTCTCTATTATGGAATCATAGAGTTGGAAGTGACTTAAGAGGTCATCAAGTTCAACCTGCACAGTGCAGGATTCACTACACCATCCCTGATAGGTGACTTTGAAAACCTCCAGCGAAGGGAAAGAAATTACTCCATGCAGTAATCTGTTCCACTGATTGGCAGCTCTTACAATCAAGACGTTCTTCCTAATATCTAATATGTATCTACATCCTTGAAGTTTCATCCCATTAGTTCTAGTCCTACCCTTTGGAGCCAGTGAGAATAAGTCTGAACCCTCTACAGTGTGACAACCCTTCAGATATCTGAAGACAGCTATCACGTCCCCTCTCAACTTTCTTTTTATTGTTCCTCATAGGACTTGGTCTCCAGTCCTTTCACCATCTTAGTAGCTCTTCTCTGGACTTGCTCTAGTTTATCAATGTCTTTTTTAAACTGGGGTGTGCAGAGCTGAACACAAGGGAGGCCTGACCAAGGCAGAGTAGAGTGGGATGAATACTTCCCCCAATCTGGACTCATCAACTAGTTCCATTTCATTTGTGGGGAAAGTATTTCAAATTATTTTTATTTGAGTACAGTATTACCTTATGTAGGTGTTTTTAAATGGCATGTTTAATAATGTTTAAATGTTTGCTTTGCCACAACATGGAGTGAGTGGCTATTGCTAAGTACTGAGCTTTGTGAGGATCACAGAATATCTTAAAAAAAATGACTTTTATTATGCCAACTTTATTTATTTATTTACTTATTAGGTTTATCTCCGCCCATCTCCCCCTAAGAAGAAAACTTACCTTTTCTTCTCTATGGGTAATTTTTTTATTCACAAGATACCTTCATATATCAAGCTAATTTTTTTAAATTTACTGGCTCAGAATTGTGCAGTCAACCTCCTTTCAGTAAGTTGTTTAATGTTAAATCAGAGTCTACAGTAAAAGAGTTTCCAAAAAAGGATTGTTACTCTGCAACTTAAGATATAACTGCAGTTGTTCTATAAAGCAAAGCAGCAGTGGGTGGAACATCTGCCTTGTGAGCATCTACTTTTTACCAGACCCTTGTGATATTAATTGCAGGCTAACAATTACTACTCAGACTGCAGAGATTTGTTCCGAGCATCAGTACTAAATGGAAGTCATAGTTCTTATATCCAAAATACCAGATCACCCCAGGAATGTTTAATGCTAATATAGTGTGTGGTTGTTATTCTTGAACAAGTACTGTAGAATATCCTTACCAATCTATTAGTAAAATTGGACTTACCTTACAATATACTGTCCAGATTTCAATCTGTTCTTCAGCTTGGGAATGATATTGACCAGTTACTCTGTCCGGACCCTGGAGTAGTGGATCCACCTGTTCTTTTACCTCCCACTTGTGCTGGAAAGCAGTCGCCACTTATTTCCTTTCCATGGATTGGTCTTTGAGGACCTGTTGGTTTGCACTGATAGACCTTTTGTATGAGGATCCCTCTCTTGTCTTCTTGTACTTGACACCTTCCGTATGGTGTGTCCTCTGATGGACCAGTGGGAGTGGGGGAACCATAGCTTTTTCTTCCTTCCTATCACTTAGGTTAAAAGAGAAAACTTGCAGAAGTTTTGTTAATTTCATCTTTTTAAAAAAAAAAAAAAAAAGCATCCACTATGCTAATGACCCATCAGTGAACTTGTAAAAAAATAAAATAAATGAAATAAATGAAAATCCAGCCTTTACCAGTCCACTGGTAAATTTGTAAAATTTAAAACAAAACCAAGCCCGCATTTCAGCAGTCCATCAAGTGAAGATCTCTTTAGAAGGGGCAAGTGGCCCAGGGTGAAATGGATGCGGAGGGCAGGGACCAGCCACGGGAGGGGAGGGGAGGGGGCCTTCCCGCCTCGGTTCCCATTCGCCGACTGGAGCAGAGCCGTTTGCCTGCAATGAAAGGGAGAGCTCCGTCAGACGGGGCAGTATCGCTCGGGCTGGCGGAAGTCAGAAAACACTACGTCTTGCTACCGAGCAAGAAATGACCGGCAAAGGGTGCTTTTACAGTGGGCGGGGGGCAGGTGGAGGACAGTATCCTGAAAAACGACCTAATCCGGGACATGTGGATGAGCCCTAATTAGGGTCGCAGCAAGCTCGTACAAAACACAGTAATATAATTGCAAGACTGAAAGCAGAGTTTGGTACAGCTCTTCCAACGAAATTCTTGCTTTGCGAGGGACAGATAACCCAGTATGTGATGGAGTACATGGAGGAGCCCCGACTCGGCTCCTAAAAAACCTAGTTAAGTCCCGTGCCCCCAGTTGAAGAGCGGTACCGCCTGAGAAGTTAATCTTGACAAGCTATAATGTATTCGCTTGCTATTTCGTTTGCTCCAGAGCAATTATTCCTGCTGTGTAAAAGAGCGAGCAAGGCGGATTTCTCAGGGAAACCTGAGTCGAGGATTTTTATCCCGCTATGCAAAGCACTGATTTCCAAGCTGAACGAGGCTGGGATTGGCTGCTCGCTTACACGGGCACGGCGAGAGTCACTTTAAGAAAGCCAGTTCTTCCTCAGCCTTCAGAGAGAGCCGCCTCGCGTTCCTCCCGCCCCCCCCCAGGTCGCGACCTCTGGCTCGCCTTGCCAGCCCGGAGTCGGGCGGGGAGCGCCAGAGTGAGCTTCTTCCCGCCCGAACCACTGTTTGAATCGAAGAGACCCGCCCAGCAGTCCGCCACTAGGGAGCCAATCCGAAGCCGGGAGACTCCGGCTCCTGCCCGGAGCTGGCCTCCGATTGGTCGGGCCAGGCGAGGGAGGTGGAGTGGAGAATCAGGCAGGTTACAATGTATCCAACTTGATAGCGCGGAATGAAATTAAAAAAACAACAAACAGCGTCCAGGCACGTGGGGGCGGGGCCAAAGGAGGGAGGTTGCTCTCGGCGAGGCTGCCGCTCAATGGGTGGGGCGGGCTTTGCACGGGCTGTGCCGGCTCCTCGCTTGGACGGGCAGGCGAGGGGACGGGCGGCGTTGCCTGCCGCGGCGGTCCTCGGCAGCTTTCCTCCTCAGTAGCAGCCCCGCCCCGAAGGAGCCGAGCCCCCAGAGGCACCGCCCTGGGTCGGCATTCGAGCAGCATCTGCATCGATCAGTCTCGTCGCGACCCGGCGGCTGCCTTGAACCGGGCCAGCCCCGCCTCAGGGGCAGCGGCGAGGCCG